TATAAGTGTATAAAGAGGAAGGAAGTTTATTATTACTTGATCTTTTAACAGATAATTGTGTGTGCGTCCCGATTTGATAAAAGACAAAATTCCAAGAATTGCTGCTCACTCTAAGTTCTCGACGCGGCGAATCACTGCCCGCTGTCTGTTGCCTCTGATTGCCGGTCTGATTCTGACTCTTGAAATGAGCTAATTGCGCCTGCAAGCTTGAGATCTCCGCCCGTAACGCCGTGATCTCTTCTTGCAGCGTCTCCACGGCGACGCTCTGGCACGACGCTGCTTGCTGCGTCGGCTCCGGAGTCGGCAACGCGGCCGGACTGTCCTGTTCCCTGTCATTCTGTGATAAAAAAAAAAAAATGAATTTTTGAAGTCTTAAGACAAATATAGAAAGAAGTACAGAGAACGTTGAATAGATGTAAAATATTAGATGCACACACACACACACACGCGCGCGTAATAAAAACATTTCAAACAGTAAGTTAAAAGTAGACGAATGAAATAATTTGAATAAAATAAATCAATATCTAAAAGACGCGTCAGTGGCATATAAATTACAACAAAAATTTCGAGAATATTTTGTTTCACCTCCGCCGGTCGGGTATCGTCTTCGCAGCAGCTGGAATCGGCATCCCCTAAAGTGCGATCGCCATCCCCCTGAATATCTCCCCCGCCCTCGCTCTCCTCCACCGGGTTGGTGATGGAACCTTCGGCATCCCTGCTCGTCTCGATCTCTGCGCATCATTAAAATATTTTCTCACAGAACACAGCTCTCTCTCTCTCTCTCTCTCTCTCTCTCTCTCTCTCTCTCTCTCGCTCTCAAACGATTTAATAATTAAAACGATCGAAATGATTTCTCGCGAAAGCACGACGATAGCGTTTTCCATAGAAACGAAATTTAACCCCATCATAAGCCTTGTGTTGCTTCTTTTAACGCGAAAATTGACCGCCGAAGAAGAAGCGGTTGACGCGACGATGCGCGCTCGCGCGTACATCTAAGAAGAGAAATCATCCTCTCTTCTCGGTATCGAGAGCGAAGACCGGGAATCGAGAGCACGCGCGCTCCATCGAGAGAGCTATTACTATCGTTATATCGCCCGGCTCCGGGGAGATCGGTGATTGCCCGGCGGGAATTGCCCCCGTGTTCTCCGTAGAATTGGCCGTGGCACTTGTTACTGCTCGGTTACTTGAAGGTTCTCGCCAACGTTCCTGCCTCTCTTTTCTCTTTCCTCCTCTTTCTCACTCCTCCTCCTTTTCGTGGAATCGCGATACGCTCTCCCGATTGTCATAGCCAGCGAAGCGACGCGAAGCGCGCAAGGCTTACCGGACTCGTCCTCCTCGGCAATTACGGTGGCGCGATGCCGCTCCAGCTGTCGGCCAAGCTCGGCGATGACGGAATGCAATTCGGTGAGTCGTTCCTCGTGTCGAGCCGCTTGCTGCTCCGCTCGTTGCTCCGCTCGAACCGCCTGCACCTCGGCTCGCATCAACGCGGCTTCAGCGGCTTCCCGAGCGCGAGTAGCCGCAACCAGCCGCGAGTTCAATTCGGCCACTTCGGACCGCAGGGATGACAGCGCAGCCGCGTGCAACTGCGAACGAATTTCCCTTCATTTGCGCAAATTTGTCATTGCAATTTTGTGTTGCAACGTGAAAAAACATTTTGTTACGGTTTTTTATTATTATGCAGATTGTACATACATTAACTTTAGCAATGTTTATTATTTTATCTTTATTGTTTTACTATCTTACGCGCTTATGTCACACGTTTATTTAACAACTGGTATATTTATTATCGTGTATAGTCAATACTCCTCGATAGTTGTGACGTCAAAAACAAGCTGTCACGAGCATTACAGTGATGATAAAGAGCCGGCGGTTATTTATCTGAAGAACAAAACTTGTCAACGACAATGTAACAATGTGATATTACGCTATTTACGCGTTGATTTTGATATTTGTCTCAATCGCCACTTTATAAATAATAGTTACCGTTCCCAAAATCATGAAAAATATTAGGTACAAATATATAAAAGAACAGCAGTGCGTAGGCGGAATTAAATTCGTAAGTGTATGATCCCAGCAATTTTAGAAGTAAATTTTAGAAGCAATTTGCAAACGAAGTATTGTAATTGCATAGAAAATAAAATTTCTTTTTAAAGAGAAAATTTGGCGCATTTTACATCATCGTATTTGTATTGTTAAATAATAATAAAAATCATGCGTTTTAAATTTTCTGAAATTTTATAAGTGCCAAACTTTGATGTAAATAACAAAATAATAGCAGTAAAATATAATTAATATATATTAATCTAAACTTTATTTATAATAAAGTTATTGATATATATTAATCTAAACTTTTTATTTATAAATATATATATTAATATATATTTATAAATAAAGTTTAGATTTTCTGAAATTAATTACGAACAATATATGTGTTTATTATAGACACATAGATGTACAGGATAAATATTACACACACTCGCACACAAAAGTATATATAAATAGAACGGAAAATATTGCGCAGAAACGAAGGTTGCGGCGCAGATAATTTGCATGAGGAGTGAATCAGCTTCGCGTGTTTACGTTCAATTATGTAATCACGGTCGAATGATTTTAAGAGCTTGAATCGCGATATCTATCTTTTAAACATCACAAAAATCAGCAATCGCGGATCAGCGACACAATCAGATTACGTGCAATCGTTGCACGTTTGCTTCCTCTTCTTGCGAACACTTGCGATTCCTTCCTGTTTACTTACATACATGTGTGAAAAAAACACGCATCCGAGCGATCTTTTCAAACGCAGCCACCTGTGTCGGACATTACGAGACGATTATTGTTCAGGTAATATACAGAGCGGGGAAGAAGCAGGAGGCAGGTCGCAGCGCATAAGAACGCGTCCGATGCGCCACGATGCGACCATTCGTCTTCGGGACATCACGGCACCAATTGTGACGGACGTGCGAGTAATTCTGATTTTGTGCGCAAAAGGCAAGTAACGTCGGATCGCTTGGCGAATTTTTTGTCAGAGAAATTGTGCGCAATAATCGCATCGTTATTAACAATACGTAGAAAATGTTCACTTCTATTTGACATTATTTGAAAAGTGCGCTGAAATTTGTTTTTTTTTTTAAAGTAAAATAATTTTATTTGTTTCAATATACTTAAATAAATTTATAATTTAACTTAATTTTGATTTGAATTTGTGTAATTTAAATTAATTTTAAAACATTCTTAATTTGTTTTACTGTTTTTTTGTGTAATAATGCAACTATATTTTATATTTGCACAGGTGAGACTAATTAGGCGAAAATGAAGCTAACAATCGCTCTGATGGTGATCGCTGTCATATTTTCAACGGCGGTTACGGCGCAAGACGATTATATTCATCTACCAGGGAAAAGTTGCAGCGAGGCACCGTCTTGTCCTGACGGAAGACCGTGCGTGATGGCTCCACCTCGTTGTAACGTCGGTACATGTGGTAAAGATTTGGTACCAACATGCGGCAAAAAGTCTTAAAAAACAAAATGTTTACTTTGCCTGTCTTTGCATTTGGTACCACCATGCGGCAAAAAGTCTTAAAAAAAAAAACGAAATGTTTACTTTGCTTATGTCTTTGCATTTTCTGTGTATAATAAAAAGTGTTGCACAACGAAATACTCGAAATACAAATTTACATATTTGCGTATATCTAAACACTATGTTTCGAAAAACAAAAACCGGTAAAAAATTTCGCGTATTTAACGTTTTACGGAAGTCGTGACGAAACGAGGAAATGTTTGACGCAACTGCGTTTGCGGGCTCCAAAGCTTCGCAATTTTCGATGTTTCATTCACAAAGGATCTTCCTCTTTCTCCGGTTAAGGTCAGGGGTGTGTGTGTCGGACCAGTGCAAACACGGGGGACACGACGACCGGAGTGTAATTCAAACAAAAAGCAATCAAGGATTCAATTACAAGGCCGCACGGCTGGCCAGCGGTTCGCAGTTTCATCGGCGAGTAAAGTCACGGAGCGAGAGATTCGATTACCAAACTCGCCTTCAGACACGTCGACCGTTTGTTCGAACAAATTTGCAATTAGTTTAAATATAAATTTTCCTTCTTTGTGTAATCTTCAATTTTATATAACTTTGCAATCTCTGGTAGCTGTTACGCAATAATTGAAATTAAATTTTTTTCAATCAAAATTTTTCACTGAAAAATGAGAACTTTTAGCGATCAATTTATTAAATCGAGAAAGGATTTAGTACTGACGTTTGTCCGAGCAACAAATTCCGTAAGAATCTCTTTACTCTCATCCTTGTGTTTATGTACTTATAATTTTGCAGTAATTTTTTTTAGAAATGAAATTACGTAATTAAGACAGAAGGCAGAGAGCAGCAACTAATTAGTCACAAATTTGCATTAAAGAATTTTTAATTGATTTTTGTTCTTTTATTTTCGTGTGCCGAGCTGTGCCGAGTTTAAACTAGGTCATATCGGTTTTTTTTTTTTCAAACGGTTCGAGCAACAAATCCGTAATAGAGCAACTAATCAGCGATAAAAGAGCACTGAATATTTATGTAGACTTCTTTTTAGTACGCTGTGAAGTGGCTGTGCCAGTTTTACAGACGTTGTGAATCGCCGGAACTTGCATACACTGTATTTTTATCGCATTTTCTTTAAAATCGCGATCCATTTGCGATCAAAATGCATAACGTTCTTTCAGAGAGTAACTTTTTTTTCGTCGTTCTGAGAAAAAACCGACTTTATGCATCAACCGGAGCAAAGGTGTCGGGCTACAAAGACCAGTGGACCATATACCATTAACCTACATCGACGGCATGTGTACGAACGACGACGTCTTACGTCACGTCGTAAGCGAGATACGCGAAAGAAAAAGTGATCCGCGACGAGAGCAGAAAAATAAAATAAAATAAAAAAAAAAAAAAAAAAAAACGCTGAAATATTTCGTAATCCGGCGTAAGAGAGCGATATATTGTTAATACGGAACGAGATTCAAAGTGTGTTTCTGACTCCGATGCGTAATCGCTCAAAGTGTTTCGCTCCCGCTGCTGAAGACTGTGTCCTTTCGTGTCCTCTCGATCGGAAAAACGCGTCACAAAGAAATCGAAACGATTTGTATTATTTGCTGACGTAATGACACAAGTCATAAAAAATCTAATAGTAATTTATAAAAATATTAATGTAACAAGTTTTCGTTTTTTTTTTTTTAATTTCAAGTTTCTAGAGAGTCTCCCCTGTTCGATTTTATAACAAAAATTTGTTAGTGGTTTATATTTTTGAAATTTTTAATTTGCTGATTTCCTCTTTGAATTTTCCGAGAGAACAAGAGAGAAAGAAAAATAGATAGGTTCTCCTCCTCTGTTCTCGCAATTATCGCGAGCTCTTTTGGTTAAACGATGAGATTACGCTATAGTGTCTATCAGTCAGCTAAGGTGTGCGTGCGCACGTGTACGTACATGTACTCATCTGGTTGTCAAAAGCCGAGTCATAAACATTAACAATATGCTCTCGGGTGAAGTTCGCACGGTATGCGACCTGTTTGAGCTGTCGCGACGCGACATACACCGACAAGTGCCTCAATTGTGTGAGCTACGGAACGCAGCGTGGAATGCACGGTAGGTGTCTGCTAGTTTCACAGCTCGTATACGTGTTTTGCCAGCCACGCGTTAACGACGAAGATCTTATATATATTATTACAGAATGGCAGGACGCTCATCGTGCAATTTGGCGCGATGTGTCTCTCTTCCTTAGACGCTTATCGCTTCCGCGATCGCAGAGCGCGACATTTCTCGCCGCGGTCTTTTTTTTTTTTTTTTCTCGCGCGATTTACGCTCGCATTGCACTCGGTGCACTACGCACGCTCGAATTTCGTGAAACTCGACCGCGTTAAAATTAAGTCGTTTTAATTCTCATCTTACGTGTGTATATACGCCATATGGGTAAATATTGACAATAACGGATCCCTCTCCGATGATCTTGATCCTGACATATGTTGCCAAGTTCATGGCCCTGAGTAAAAGATCAAAAGATCGCAAAAGATTTTAGTCGCGTCGTTCGTTATTTATTCAAAAGTTCCTACCAAAAAAAAGCGCGTGCAAATAATCAGAATCGATTCTACCGATCTTGATTGTTGCCTCTTTTCCGCAACGTTGATTGGACGTCTCGGTGACGTTTCTCGGATAATGTGTTTCTCGATTCATGTCATACTGTTGTACGTGTACTAGCTGTCATCGCGGTGACATGTTGTGTCTACTGACGGAATATGTTAAAATAAAAATAATAGCGTGCGCGTAGCGCGCGTCTGTGATGTGTTTATTATCCTATATAAAAAAAAGTCATTTGGACCGAGAAGTGCGCGTTTTGGAGCCGAATGTATCGCATCTATTGTTGCCTCTTTTTCGCGTTGCCGATTGATTGGTTGGTTGATCGAGTCGAATCGAATCGGTAAGATCGAGAGAGTAAATAATGAAAAGCGATTTTGAGACAGTTTGTATATGTAGAAAAAATTAAAAACTTAACTAAAGTAAAGTCACGTAACAGGAAAGAGTAGAAAAACAACACGTGAAAATAACGTGACTGTAA